CAAATGAACATTGAACTTATAGGTTTCACCAACATATACATACCGCTTGAACTTTCTTCTGGAACTCTGACTCCACATGGGCACGATATTCAGCAATCTCCCTCTCAGCCTCATCTTTGGCTTGCTTCAGTCTAGCCATTTTAGCTAACAGAAGACCAAACAGCAAAGCACTCAGAAAACAACTGAAAAAGCTATTTTTTGGTGTAAAATTTAGGACTTCTCAAATCTAAGCACTTTATGAAAAACACTTCAAACACAATACCTCAGGGTTAGGTGAGGATTTATTTCATCCAATTGAGCTCTTGGTGTTTTTCTATAAAATTTACAGTTGTCGGGGTATTTGAAATAATTATAAGAAATTCAAAGAGCATATTAGGACTGCACATTCATAAATCATTCACCCAAATAACGGTCGTGATTCATGCCTTGACAACACAATATATCACTGTTTAGAAAAGAAAAATTGCTCTCCATTCAAAATCAAGAACTCATCTTTTCACACAATTTTGCAAGAGTCCAGTAAATATACACTGCAAACAATTCTGTTTGCAAAATGAAAATCCAGAAATTCACACATCAAGTATCCGAATCAAGGGCAGAAACAAACAGCTAACCGATCAATATACAGAAGGGACCAATGAGCAAGTAAAACTAAACGAAAAATTACCACTTCGGGCGGCATTGACGATGTGCTGAGCTTCTTGCTCTGCAGCAAGCAACTGCTGAATTCCACCTTGACCCCTATTGGATGCCATCTTTCTGGAAAATACTACAGTTGATTAAGACACCGAACAAAACCCAATTCACAAAAACTCAAATAAAATATAACAAAATCGTAAAAATCATAAATTCGAGCCACGAATGGCACATCAAAACAGTAATTGCACATTTACACATAATAATTAATCGATCCGGATGCAAATACAGAGATCCAGTTATCAGACCAGTATATTGAATGAGTGATTCAATTCACAGTAACTTCAAACAGATCGGAGCTCAAAGCACCACAATTTTTCAGATTTCTCATAAGAATTCAAGAAACTGAAGCAAATTACAAATAAATAGATCAAAGCAATTTCACATAAAGCAAGACAGAGTAACGCAAAGTCAGTACCTGTGAGAAAAAGTGGGGAGAGAGAGAGAGAGAGAGAGAGAGAGCGTCGGTTTGAGAAGAGGAAGTGAAAGATTCAGAGGAAAGCGGGGACACAGATGCGATATGTATAAACGGAGATGACCGTGACAGACCAAGTTCCCACATCCAAACGGTGACGTTATTGCGATTCACAATAGAATTGGGCTTCTGGGCTTATCTGAACTGTACACGTGTACATCTAATCTCTAAGTCTTTTTTGGTGAAGTAGAAGTTCCAATTTTATGGGTGCACAACATGAACCTTTTGAAGAAAATTGAGTTGAAAATTGAAGTTTTTTCGTAAAATCAATTGGCAATATGTCTCTTATTAATGTGAGATTCATTTTCAATACTAACACATCCCATCACGTGTAACGAATTTTCAAGCTTAACACGTGGACAACACAAATCGAGAGGGGATAAATCGGATGACGTGGTGCATATGTGGCCGTTGAGCTTCACACGAGAGACAACTTACTCTAATACCATGAAGAAAGTTGAGGTCCTACCATAAAACCAATTAGCAATATAAGGAGTAGTCCAACCTCTTATAAGCCCATGCAAGATCCGTCATCAATGTGTAATTCATTCTCAACACCTTTTAGGGTTTTTCTTCATAAGTTGGTGTAAATGCTTTACCGCATCAAGCATGACTAGATTTCATTACATAGTTCATTACAATAATAGACTAATAGTACATGCAAATACCTGAGGAATTGCTAAGCAAAGTAATAAAATTACTAGAAGAAATGTTCGATTGCAAAACTTGATGATCAACTATGAATTCGGATGTAGAACAGATGTCTTAGATAAAGAATTTCTGTATATGTCTATATGTGAAAGTGTACCCAACTGAGTGTAGGTGAAACCAAGCCAGGTAGAGAGAAGGCTGGGCATTGAGGGGGAGCAAAATGTGCAGTCACACAAGACCCAAAATTTGGAAAGGTCCCTAAATTTTTGCCATCTAACATCATGTAATAATGTTCTATATTTAAAAAATTGCTTTTGTTAGCACTTTAAACCGTATTGTGCACTCCTTATATGAGTTTTTTGTTTTTTGTTTTTCCTAAATATAAAAACTTGGAGTACAATGAGATATTTTGAATGTCAATTATAAGACCCTGAAAAGCAACAATTTCTTAATTTTATAATACAACATCGTTATATATTCAAGTGAACTTTAAAGTTAGAGGTCTGATGTTTTTATTTTCATGCTTGGCTATTTAAATAAAACAATTTTTGATTATTTAGTGATGTTATGTTTGTAACTCTTTTTACTTATCATTGGGGACATTTGTAAACATGCAATCAATGAGTGCTAAAGTTTGTTTTGATTTTTTTTCTTTCGAACAAACGATATTATCTAAGCTAAGAGGGTGGGGAAGTGGGCTAAGCCTCACAATGGCCTAACAATAACGTGGTTCAAATTTGCCTATGGTGAAAATTGAACATAAGATCTCTCACTTACAAGTGAAAAGGAATATCATTAGACCATAGTACTAAGTGACTTTGTTTTGATTTAAGTGAATGTTTTATAGTATCAATACATTGTCATCCTCAACTCTGTAGTTGTAAGCCAATACATTGGGCTGAGGAGCCAAGTTTGGAGGAGAAGTCAAATCATCAGTATCCGAAAATTGAGAAGATCCCAGTTCAGAAGACGGTGGTGGAATTGGAGCTTGAATTGGACTGTAGCCATGGTAACTTTCAGGAGCCTAAACTTCAATGTACGAAGGAGGAGAAGGGTAATCTTGGAAGTGAACGGGGGAAGGGGAAGGAGAGTAGTCTGGAGAGAGCTGGTTGTTTTGATATTCAGGGGCAAATGTGTCAATGTAAGGTTGTTGTGGTGGTGGTGGTGGAGGATTGTATTCATCTGGATCTGTTGAAGTTGCCAAATAGCCTCCGGCTTCAGGAGCGGGGTTTTCGGGGTAAGAAGATTGTGATGGGGATGAAGCAGCAGCTAGGGAAATTGTCTCATCATCTGTAGGGATGGTGTCATATGTGAGTAAGGGTTGTGGGGATTGTTGTGAAGCCATTGGCAAAGAGAACAATGTGACCATGCAGATCATGCATATTTTGGAGAACTCAGATATTGCCATGGTTTTGGAGATTAGGGTTTTAGAGAAGGTAGAAAGTCTCTGCTGGATTGTGGAGATTTTGGAGAAGGGCATATAATATAGAGAGGTGATCAAAGAAGAGATATTAGTTGCCATTGGGAAATGAATTAATTGGTGGGAAAATAATGGGATTCAATTTTCATTTGAATTTGTGTGAGATTGTTATTCCTTGGTATTGAGTAATTAAGTGAATGTGACAATTTTTTTTAATAAATGATATATTTACATTAACTGATGGGAATTAGCTTAAGTCACATAATGGTCGGTCCTAATAATTTGGTATCAAACGAATGTTGAACTCAAGACCACTTATTAGTGGAAAGGAAGTGAATGTGACCACTTTTACATGTGTGTAACGGTGAAAGGGTTGCCTTGAAATATTCTTGTCCAATTTGTAATGTTCAATTTGAACAGTTAACGCAGATTTAAAGATAATTAGGGCATGATATTAACCCAAAGTATCAGTCATGGCATTAACCCATTGAAAGAAATTTACAAGCCCTGAAAGCTACAAATGGAAGCAGGTACAACACAAGGAAATGGCATAAAATTCTACATTTTGTTCTCAGCTAAATGCAGAGCAACAAAGTGAACAGTTGGTGGATGAGGTACAGCGGCATCATAAGGTTAGTAATGGGACTCCTTGAGGTTGGGTGAGACCGCCGTTCAGGATTATGAAAGTCAATTGTGATGGTGCGTGGGTAAAGGAGTCCGGACGAGGAGGGTATGGATGGGTGGCACGGGATTTCGCAGGGATTTTTAAAGGGGCGGGGGTAGGGGAATTTCCCATGTGCATCCAGTTCAATGGCGGAGGCAGAAGCAGTGCGGGCGGCTTTGTTGGCTAGTGTTCATATGGAATTTGATGCGGTTCATATTGAATCAAATTCTAAGGGTCTTGTGGATATGATTAATGGCAAGGTTCAACCAAATGTTGCAATTGAAGCTCTTCTTCTTGATATTCAATATGTGAAACAGCGGCTAAGGTTAGTGGATTTTGTTTTTGCTCCTCGTATTTGTAATACGAAAGCACATCTAATGGCCTCTTTCGCCTTATAGGAAGGGGGGCTTTATGTTAGGGGCTGTTTTGAGCCAGAGTGATTGTTTAATACTTTGACTTCTGATGTCAACCTTTCAATTCGAATATAATGAAATTCTTACCTTTGGAAAAAAAAAATGCGGTGGTTTGGCTCTGTTGTGTTAGATATTGAGAGAGGGGTCATTGCCATTCCTAACCACACAAATATTGTCTCAATTTAACTACCTATTGCTAGATATTAAGTTTTATCACAAAAGACATTGGTGTTATTAAAAGTAAAACCATACACTTATATATTGTACTTTATTTTCTCAATTCCCTGAAGTGGGACTTATATTCAAAATGGCGGTGCTTCAAATGGTGGTGGTAGTTCTCATTTCTGCCAATTAGGTTATTTTAGAGCTTTGATTGTTTTGAATTTTGTGGTCATGGGTAAATATCTTGCTTAGTTTAGTGATGTAAGTTTTGTAGTTGTTTGTGCGTCATGTCTCTATTTTTATTTTATCCTTTTGGGCTCGTTTTTGTTGCTTGATTGACAATATATTTTTGCTTATTGTGTAGACGTCTTTGTTGTACTATTGGAATTTAGCTATGGAGTGCCAACTCAATAACACATTGCATTTGCTGATAACTCATCACTAAGTAAACATAATTGATGACACAATAACAAACTCAAATCATGTTATAAAAGGAAGGAGAAATAAAAAAACATAGCAGAATGCAACATTAAGGCACATTTAAAAGGAGTGCCTTTTGTACATAGACAGAAGGTAACACAATTGACATCCTCAACACCAATACAGTAGTAGTAATATACAAATTCGATGCTTCCAGAATAATCCAAAGTTTCTCAGACCATTGAGAAACACACAATAATTCTCTTAGAAATCATATGTTGGGGGAGCTCCTGAAAGAACCCAGAGCTTTAACAGCTCCCGCTCTCAAGATGTATTGGTGATACAGGGCAGCAATGGCAGCTCCAATGAATGGTCCAACCCAGAAGATCCACTGAATAATTAAACAACATAAGTAAAATAATTAGAATAAAAGAATGAAGAAATAGAACAGGTTATGAACTTTTAATTAAAAATTAAATTAAATAAAAAAGTAGACGACAATAAAGAGTATTAAATTGTGTTATATTCACGGTTTATCGTCTGTTTAGTGTCTATCAGTTTTATTTTTTATTAAAAGTTTGTAACTAAGAGAGTAAAGTGAAATGTACGTACTTGGTCATTCCAAGCCTTGTCATTGTTGTAGATCACTGCAGCTCCAAGACTTCTAGCTGGGTTGATACCAGTACCAGTGATTGGGATTGTGGCTAGGTGAACAATAAACACAGCAAACCCAATTGGCAGTGGTGCCAATACCTTTAATTATCAACATAAACAAATCATTAGAGTTATTACAAAATTAAAATCATTTTTCTTGAAACTAATTGCAAAATTAATTTATACTTACTGGGACATGGGAGTCTCTTGCATTTCTCTTGGGATCAGTGGCAGAGAAGACAGTGTAGACAAGAACAAATGTGCCAACAATCTCAGCACCCAATCCAGTGCCTGTGCTATAGCCATCGGCAAGCTCATTGGCTCCACCGCCATACTTAGTATAGTAAGAACTTTGGAAAGCTTTCACTAGCCCAACACCACATATGGCTCCCAACGACTGAGCCGTCATGTACAATATGGCTCTCACCAGTGACACCTTCCTTGCCAAAAGCAGCCCGAATGTGACTGCAGGGTTTATGTGCCCCCCTACATATAACAATGCACATCTTAGTAAACCATAAGTTGGATGCTAAATTGGAGATGTTTTTGTGAGTAATGGATCTGGTATTACTAAATTATTCAAATAATAACAAATAGTGTGTAACGGGTGCTATTTATTTAAACCCTAATTATTGTTCATTATCTATATCATTCTTTACTACTTAGACTAAACTTAGGAATTTACAATTTGAGTGGACTGATAGCACTATGTCAGGATGTCACTGGCGTTAGAGATTCAAAATCAAAGTTTGTGCATAATTGAAGTTGTATTACTAATCTATCTAATGATAACATTATGGGGACAACTTTAAGTGGATTGGCAACAATGCGTTAGCACATGTAATGTTCTAGTTACATTGAAAAATGAATCACTAAATCTATTTTACTTAATTCATGAAAATAATTAATGGGTTGGAGAAAGAAAGAATATTTGCTTAAGATTGAGATGAAACCTACCAGAGATGCCAGCTGTGCAGTAAACAAGGACAAAGATCATGCCACCAAAGGCCCAAGCAATACCAAGAATGCCAACACCACCACATTGGTCTCCGTTTAGAGCAGTGTCAGTTTGGCTCTTGTATCCAATCACAGTGAGCACAGTGATGTACAAGAACAAAAGGGTGGCAATGAACTCAGCTATGATGGCTCTGTAGAACGACCACTTCCCTAGCTCCTCTGCATCGATTAGCGGCTCTGGCGGAGGGTCCTGGTAGTCCTTGGCTGAGTACCCACCTCCAACTTCAATGTCTTTGCCCATGGCTAGAGAGAGAGAGAGAGAGAGAGAAGGATGAAAATGAAGTGAGCTTATTTGTAATGTGGTGATGTTGGAAGAGCTAGTTGTTTGTGTTTGTGATGGGAAAAGAGTGGAGGGTTTGGAGGGGTTTTATATGGGGGAGTGGAATTAGAGTGGAGTGGAATTATGGAATATAGAACTTGATGGGTTGGCCGTCCAAGCCCTCTAGGTCACATATTTTCTTTTTCTTTTCTTTGTTTTTAGGCTGCGTCTGATTCGAATTCTTTAAAGACAATTCCAGGAAGGTCTATAATGAATTATTAATTAACTTCTAAAGTACAAGATAAATTACTGTTTAAACTTGACAAAATTGTTACTTGTAAGTTCTAATTTTATGCACACGTTTGTGTTACAACGATGTGAGTTGAGTAAACATATGACATAATATGAAACAAGATGTAAACTCAATGTCATAACTTCAAACTCTTATCAAACCAAAATGCTGGAGCTAATCTCATACTTGTATATAGGAGTTATTTCATGTATATATCTAATAGAACATATATATGCCTTAAAACATTATATGCTTGATGATAACTAGAGAATTGTGAATAATTGTCCTAAATTGAACAATGAGAAAAGAAAAAAAAAACAGAAAATCATTATGATATACGTGTAATCACACGTACTCGATATTCATCCTAAACTATTGCACATGATGAACACACAAACCAAAACTAACGCTTCAGATTTAATTATGCCAATTAGCTAGAAAGAAGATGATAATGTAGATAATTAATAAAGTGACCAATATCAACCACTAGCTAAGATCTTGAACCATTGTCGGAGTGACACGTGGCCCATAATCTTAGCAATTGCATGCCTCAGCCGCCCCAATGGGGGAGGAGGAGGTGGACGGTGTCAAAATTACGTTATGATTGTGAGTATGGTGAGAAAATGGACAAAGCGTGACTCATGCACCGACCATGCAAACAATACTCACCGCCGCCCCATCCAAGTTTCCAACTCAGACCCACCTCACCCTCTGCTGTGCTCTCAACCACTCATATCCAGCCACGTTTTGCTGCTCTGGCCGTCAGCAATCATTGTTTCCAGATTAATCATTCTATTGGAGTTTAATTCTGATCTTAATCAACATTATCCTGATTAAACCCTAATACAATTAATAAGTAGAAGACGAACTAGCAGTGCAGATCTTGAGAATTTAGGGGCCTGTGCAAAATTTAGATGGAAGCCTTCATTTTCTAACGGTGTATTATTTTATATTATTTCTTAACTTTCAATTTATTCAATAAAATTGAAATATTACAAATTAGGGAATCAAAAATAAGTTTGTTTTATAGGAGTTTTTTTTTTCTATCTTCAAAAGGTCTTGAATTCGAAACAAGATGAATGTTTTTGTGTAAATTTGTCTGCTCAATAAGTTTATAATATGCAAAAAAAATTAAAATTCCAAAGCAAAGCCATACGGAATCGAACCCCACTCCTGGGTGAAAGAGTAGGAAGCCTAAACCACTATCACTTGCAAATAACTTCGGTATTCTCTTACACATTTAATATATTTATATGTATATGTGACATGTAAATAAATTTTGTAGGCCCTTACGAATTGGGGGCCTTTTACGGTTGCACCTTTTGCACACCCTCAAAGCCCGGCTCTGCGAACTAGAGAAATTAGAATTCCGACCTAAAACCATAAAAAAGGTTATGGCTTGTATTAGGACACGTGTCAGAAAAAGGAAGGCCTTGTCCAGAACTTTGTCTTTGTTATTGTGGTGGCGCCTGTTCTTTACTTGGTAGTGGTGGGCGGAACCGAGAAACTTCACGAAGTCTATGATTTAAGAAAATGGAAAAGAGCCAATATGGATTAGGCAGTTCAACTTTTCACAGTATTGTAGAAATTTCCCGGTTTAGTTAAGCTATATTCAATCTTTACATGCAACGACGAGGTTTCAAGTTCGACTAAATAATATATTTATAGTAATGTTGATAAAAAATTATAGCTCGTTGTGATTTATTCTGAGTTAATGACAAATTATAAAAGTTTCGGTAAGTATTTTACTATTTGTCAAGAAAAGAAAAATGGTTTTTCAGCTTCGAGTTTCTTAGCAAACTTTCATACTGTACATCCTATATATTGTCTCTTAAAATTTCTTATTCATCTCGGACCTTTATCAAATTATGTAGGTGTAGGTGTAGCCTTTGGTGTAAAGATAGTATCGCTTTTTCTTGGAAGCTTTAAGGAAAAGAGTTCCTACAAACGTATCCTTTCAACAACTTTTATTTAAGAGGAAGAAAGGAAGAGAGGAAGAGAGGAAGAGATAGAGATGAAAGAGGAAAGATGAGATAGAAAGCAAGGGTGAAAGAGGAAACATGTTGGACCCGGGCGTAGTGGGACTGCGCATCAGTCGGTAGGTTCTCGTGGGACTAGCACACTGTCTTTTAACATTTTATTGTTTTTTTATTTTTTCGGTAATGTCCTTTAGAACACGTTTTTAAGATTTGTTTTAGAACTTATACTGAATCATGCATGAAATGACATCTTTAAATATATAGATGTAATGTCAACACAAAATATGAACTCAAACTTCAATTGTTTGGTTTGAATTCAAAGTGAGGCTTCTTGTTTTTAAGGTTGAAAGGGTGACAAAAGTGACTTGATTTAGAAAATCCACCTTTCCAATTCCTTTTGATAAAATTCCAATTATGCCTTTACTTGCACCTTTTCTTTTTTACTACAAACGATATTCTACACTAATTTATATTAAGAAAATGAGGAGTTTGAGCAAGAACTAACAGTGTATCGGACAAAAATACCCTAATCAGGCAATCCACTTGCTTTACTTACATTTTATCAAAAGAAAGAGAACCAATATAGCAAGAGTACTAACTATTAAATACTGAAGGAGAAATGACTAGCTCCACATTTCTCCAATTACTCTATGTTCATATTCTCGTGCAGGAACAGTCTTCTCATATGTAATTGTCACACCTAATGAATTAATATGAATGAAACCCTTCGAAAATTCTAAACATAATATTACAACTTGTAAAACAACGGCATCATTTGTTTCTCCCTGAGAAGTAACTTATAAGATGGAAGCCAATGCCATTGAAACTATTATTAATTTGTTTGGACATAATCTCAAAATTTTAGTCCGACCCAAGTCCACAAACTTCTACAAACTCGCACAAAAACTGAAAAAAAAAAGAAGAAAGATATATATTAACAGCCATGACATGAGAAGAAGATGTTCATTTTTTGGACTCCTGCAGGTCTTTCTCCTCAGCCTCCAGATCCCACTCTTCGGTTATTGTTTCCAATTCAGGACAAGTTGAAGTCTTGTTGTGGGATATCAAAATTGTAGGTGCAACTTCCATCCAAGAACACAACAATCTCATCTGCATCTGCTTTGCCATTGCAATTATTGATCAAACAAAAAGGCTTCTTAATTAACTTCGTGCTCTGTGATCAGCTGCCTAATTCCAAGCTGAAAGTTACAGAAGTGGCTTTTTACTCAAAAGTGCTTCTGGAAAGAGATGAAGAGAAATGGGGTTTTGTGGCAGATTGTTAATTAGGGTTTTCTAGTAGATTGTCGAGTGAGGGCCGTGGGATTTTGGGATGAAGGGAATGAAGATGAAGGTGGCTTTTTATAGGAGTTGAAATTAAGTACTCAACTATTTACAATACCTTTAAAATGAATTTTTCGTTAAAAATTTTTTTTTTTTAAACTTTTCGTTAGTTTTTCTTAAAAAGTAATTCACCTTGAATCTTAATGACCAGTCTATGTGGTGTACTCCACTGTCCACCAAATTGCTTTAATTCCTACATACAACAAAAGCCTGTTCCTATTTATGTGCGTGCATTATTTGTTCCAAAACTCCAATCATTTTTAGATGATCTTCGACTTCTCACACACAATAATAATAGAGAGACAAACTTTATTACAAAAAATTTACAAACTGCAGATGCATACAATGTGATATCAACGAGTGAGATTTGAAAAAATAAATTATATACTTTCATCACCTTCATCTACATTAACATTTCGTAAATTTACAATCAAAGTTGAGTATTGGAGTCACTCCCCAGATTAATTGTGTGTGTAAATGTAAACTTCAACAACTACTGCTAACCTCCAATTCATCAACACCTGCACTTCCCAAAAGCGTCCAAAATGTCCTTTTTTGGGTATCCCTAGATATTACTCTAAAGAAAAAATTGAATCAAAATTCATTTCATCGATTAATTTTCATTAGATAAACAAATACACAGTATTTCTTATAACTGCTTAAACAATCAAAATTATAATTAAAGAGAACTATTAATTTCTTTTTTCGAATACAAAGAGAATTGTATGTGTTAGACTATTACTGACACACCCCGATTCTAAAATCAGGGCGTGCTGGTCGTCACGTGAGCGTGACGTAACCAAAAGTGTGACGCGGAAGCAAAAAGGGGTAAAAGAAATACGAAGGAATAAAAACCAACCAACTACTAGTAATAATATCCAACTAACATGCTAGAGTGAGTTTAAGTGTGAAACACACATAATCAGAGCATAAGGACTAGGTGTAGTCAAGTATGACCATTACTAAATTACAACACCCAAAGGTGAGTCCTACATTTAAGTAGGCTGTCAGAACGCCGTGGGAATCCTCGTGAGCCACCAACACTGCTAACTAGAACCTGGAGGGGCGCAAAACAAGATTGAGTGGGTCAGTAAAACAAAGCTTTTCGAAAATATTTCATTTAATAACACTTCTAACCCCTCACTGTAAAACCTGTATACTTTCCCATAAATAGTATATATATAACCATATAACAGCAAATAACTCAATCACATGTCTTTAACACCTTTCAAGAAATATGCCATGCTATGCTTTAAAACATAATAAGGATGCATCAATATAACAGGTGAAATAAGGAATCAACCGGAGACTCTGCAGCTGTCCTGTTCAGTTAATTCTATAGCTCAATATCCAATCCAACCGGAGTCACCAACTGTGACCTGTATGGCGTTACTCTGCACATAAATCGGAACTACCTGAAGTAGTCTGTACTACAAGAATGGTGTAAGAATATGCT